ACAGAGAGAGACAGAGCATGAACGGGGGAGGGGCAGAGAGAGAGGGAAACACAGAATTGGAAACAGGCTCCAGGCTCTGAGCCATCAGCCCAGAGCCCGACGCGGGGCTCGAACTCCCGGACCGCGAGATCGTGACCTGGCTGAAGTCGGACCCTTAACCGACTGCGCCACCCAGGTGCCCCTTCTTTTTAATTGTTTAAGTTTATTTATTTTCTTAATAAAGAAACAGTGACAGAGACAGAGACGGTGTGGGGGGGGGAGGGGCAGAGAGAGGGAGAGAGACAGAGAATCCCAAATAGGCTCCACACTGTCAGCGCAGAGCCCCATGTGGGGCTCAAACTCTCAAAACCATGATATCATGACCTGAGCCGAAACCTAGAGTCAGACACTTAACGGACTGAGCCACTCAGGCGCCCCTATATTCAAGGCATTTTAATGTTCCACTTAGTAATGTATTAATTATAACATTCTTGGTTTTTAACTTTAGTTGTCAAACTCTTTTGTTTTTACAACTCAATACCAGATATGTTTACTGGAATGCATGAGTCAAACTGGATAGTTAGGGAGACAGGTAATCTGTTTAGGGCAACAAAACAAGTAAATTAGCTCCATTATTTCTAGTAGCTTTGTTAAAAGCATCATCCCAGGATTGCTTCCTTTTACAAAATGGATGAGTTTCACAAGAGTAGGCTATGAATATACATCTCCCCTGATTTCCATCATAATAGCAGAGATTTTATATTTCTCTTAGAGTTGAAAATTTTTATCATAAGGCTTAAAATGATAGTTGAACTCCATGGACCACTGGAAAATTCTTATATGCAAGTTCTTATATAAAAGAATAAGAAGTGAAGCCCTTTTCATTTCTTCTTTTATTGATAGCATTAAATGAAAAACAAGGTAGTAAGTACAAATTCAACAACTGCCTAATGTATAAACCAGATACTGCCTTACATCATTTTCAAAAACTACTTCATTGTTAAATAACATCACTAAGTACTTTTACAGAGAAAAATATGAACATTACATTATAAAAATATGAGAGAGAAAAGTATGTGTCACTATTAATAAAAGTTATTATTTGGTTTTTGTCATATATATATGAACCTAATATATTCATATATTTTCTAAACTCCAATGTGCAACTCTGTCAGGAAAACAAGTGATCAAATCTACAGTTTTTAGAGTATACATGCATATATACTGTCACCTGGATGTGACAAAATTATATGATAATGTAAAGTAAAATTAAAACATAGAAGTCAAGCTACTTTTAAATTCTATAGAACATTAAAAAATACCTAAATACTAATTAGGCAGAAATTTATGATTCAAGCAATACATAAATGTCTAGGACTGCTTTTTAAAAAAAGAATCAACAAGAAAGAAGAAAAATCAAACCTGCTTCATTGCTTCTACCCGCTTGTTAAGAGCTGTGGTTTGCTCAATCAGAGATTCTGCTGCATCATCATGATCTCTCAATCTTTCAACAAGAGCTTTAGCATCAGCAAGTGCCTTCTCAATTGTGCAACTCATTTCTAAAGGAATACCTATAAAATTAAAATCAAGATTCAAAACAAAGCCAGCATACCATTTTATTATTTTAGGTTCATGTTAACATAGATAGGCTTCTTAAGCTACAATTGTTATAGGACTGTTCATGGGGAGAAAAAAACATCTAAGAACCCTTGCAGTTTTGCTTCTGTTAGGATGGCATAAGCTTGAAAGTGAATTTATAATAGTAAAAAAATTAAAGCATATATAAATGATTTGCAGAAATAATCAGAATGTTGGGGCACCTGGGTGGCGCAGTCGGTTGAGCGTCCGACTTCAGCCAGGTCACGATCTCGCGGTCCGTGAGTTCGAGCCCCGCGTCGGGCTCTGGGCTGATGGCTCAGAGCCTGGAGCCTGTTTCCGATTCTGTGTCTCCCTCTCTCTCTGCCCCTCCCCCGTTCATGCTCTGTCTCTCTCTGTCCCAAAAATAAATAAAACGTTGGAAAAAAAAAATTAAAAAAAAAAAAGAAAAAAAGAAATAATCAGAATGTATTTAAAACACCCTGAATCTATGGTGGGGAAAAGCAGCACAAATCAAGTGAATACATTTTATATTGTATAAAAATTGTGCTTTTGGGGCACCTGGCTGGCTCAGCTGGTAGAGCATGCGACTCTTGATCTTGGGGTTTTAAGTTCAAGTTCCATGTTTAGGTGTAGAGATTACTGAAAAATAAAATCTTTTTATTTTTATTTTTTTAAATGTTTTTATTTTTGAGAGAGAGCATGAGCAGGGGAGGAACAGAGAGAGAAGGAGACAAAGGCTCCAGGCTCTGAGCTGTCAGCACAGAGCCCGACGGGGGGCTCGAACTCATAAACAGCGAGATTCTGACCTGAGCCGAGGTCAGATGCTTAACCAACCCAGGTGCCCCAAAATAAAATCTTTAATAAAAGAAAATTTGTGCTCTTCATGAGGGCGCTCTCTCATCTTGCTATTTGTGAAAAAGGTCACTTTATTAGTCTATATTCTGTGGTTCATGATTCTCAGTCACTAACTAGGAGATCCTTCCTAGCCTCTGCTTAGTTAGGTGACCTGAGACCCCATTCACAACACACACTGACCAGCCAAAGTGGTCTCTTATGTGTCATGCTATGTCAAAGTGTCCTTCTTTTGGAGGAACTACTTCTTATAGGAACTATTATAATCCTAACTCTTGCACTTTCCTTAGTAATTAAAAAAAATATATTACTTAGAGCACCAGCCATTATCAGAAATTTTTGATATGTTAAAATCAATAAATATTTAAGAGGAGCTCAAAATATTAGGAGACAAAATATGAAACAGTTAGTTAGCTTCATCATTTGATATGCAGTGACCTCAAAACAAATTTTAATTCTAAAATAATCTCTCTCAAAAATGTAAACATTCTGAAACTTACCATCTTTTTGTTTGTTTATTTGTTTTGAGAATGACAGAGACAGATAGGCCACAAACTGGGGGTGGGCAGAGAGAGGGAGAGAGAGAATCCCAGGCAGGCTCTGTGCTGATCTCATGAACTGTGAGATCATGATCTGCGCTGAAATCAAGAGTTGGGCACACAACCAACTAAGCTACCCAGGTGCCCCTGAAACTTACTATCTTCAAATTTTCTCTTTATACTAAGTTTTACCTTACCTTCTATATGAGCCATACTCTCTTCAGGGTTTTCTCAAAAAGTAAAATCACACTATAAAATTACTAGGCCAGAAGCCAGCTCTATAAGTTAAAACTCTCATATGGATCCCAGTTAACGGCTATAATTAAGGATTTCATCAACTTTAGGAAGACAGAAATTTGCTACAGAATGTGACTGTTAGAGTCTACTGTACTAGTTCAAACCTGAATAATAGGATTCAATTAGAATAAATTAAAGGGTAAAACTGCCAATTTACAAAATCTTCAATATGTGACTGGACATTTCTAGAGAGCTTCCAAAATTAAACAAGCTGGAAATTAATACAACTTCTGGCTCCCCAGATAAAACAACCAAAAGATTTGTCTTCTAAGATTTGAGAGGTTTAGCAAAAGGTACTTGAAAAAATGAGAAGCAAAAGGGTCATTAGTTATCAATGTCCCATACTAGCTAAAACACAGAAGGACAACTATCCAGTGTCTATCCAAGATACTGCTTCTAGGAAAACGTTAGCATCCAACAATGTCCTGTCGTTTCTCCAAACTTTTTAAGAGAATTACCAAATGCTATAGATGGATAATAATACAGATTTCCTTTCATATTTAAGTCACCATATCTGCCATTAACTCCACTACCATGAAACACTAGATCCTTCAGAGTAAAAGTTTCAAGTTATTTAAAGTCCCCTTACCAATAAACGCACAAAAACAAACAGAACAAAACAAACAGGGAGGGAGAAGAGGGGACAAACTGACTTATATTTGATAGCTTGACACTACCTAAAATAGACAACACACAATAAAAATACTATACAAGCTAACATTCTACGTATGTACTAGTATACATACATATGTAAGTATAGAACTACTTTAAAGTGTGTTATAAGCTAAGTTCTTTGACCACAAGTCCTTATTCAGGGGCCTCAGATAAAACAATAAAATCATAAATCTATGGAGAAGTTCAAAGATTCCATCACAGACACGCAAAATCTGGTCTGACATTCCAAAAAGAAACATGGGATGATCAAGTTGTAAAATCTATAAAGGTAAGAGCTGCCACAATCAGAATGGTGACTTGATAGCACCAGATGAAACCTCAAATGGACTCTCAAACTCCATGAAACATCTTATTCCAATAGGAAAAAACTGGCCACAGTATTCAAAACATGGATAGAAGATTTTTTTGGATAGCATAAGATATGGCCCAGTGCATGCTTTATTTGTAGATAAATCTGGAAAATTTTTATTTTTTTTAATTAAAAAAATTATTTTAGGTTTATTTATTTTTGGGAGAGAGACAGAAAGAGTGGGAGAGGGGCAGAGAGAGAGAGAGAGAGAGAGAGAGAGAATCCCAAGCAGGCTCTGCACTGTCAGCACAGAGTCTGATGTGGGGTTTGAACCCACAAAGCATGAGATCAGGACCTGAGATGAAACCAATAGATGGACGCTTAACCGACTGAGCCACCCAGGTGCCCCTGGAAAAATATTAAAGACGAAATGAGGACTAAAACCATTCCTAAAGGATTTTGTTTTTAACATCTCCCAGTGGATTTTATAAGGTTGTCTCTCTATGCTCTAGGAATATGTAACAATCATTAATATACTAGAATATTTATTTTATGAATGGATTGAAAAAGCCCTCTGCTGAAAAGACATAATAGTGACAGAAGTTAAAATACTATTATAGTTTGTATTTCCTATCAACTACATTCTAACTTGTCAATCAAGTAATATGGAAACAAAAGCAAAAAGTAACATGGAAACATATTTAGCTGGAACAGTTATTTATGAGCTTAAATTATGCAACACTTTGTCTCTTCCTCAGAAATCTTCCTGTCTTCATCATTTTCAGGCCTCAGCAAAACGCAAACAGGATAAATCCAAGTAGGTCTAAGCTGAGACACATCATAATCAAATTTCTGAAAACTAAAAACAAAGAAAAATTCTTGAAAACAGTAAGAGACAGATGATACTTATAAAGAACCAACAATTTGAAGGACTATCAATCTTGCATCAGAATCAGGATGGCCAGAAGCCAAAATGATTGAAACTGAAAGTGGAACACTTAAAATACAGAAAGAACAGAACTGTCACCCCAGAATTCTATACCCAGCAAAAATACCATTCACATATGAAAGTGAGATAAAAACCATTTTCAGGAGAAAACGAATTCATTTCTAATAGATTTGTTCTAAAGGAAATTCTTCAGAGAGAAGCAAAATGGTATCAGAAGGCAACTTAGAGCATCAGGAAAAAAGGAGAACAGAAATAGGCAAATACACTGATCTATTTCTGAGTGTTTTAAATGTCTTATGTTTGAGGGGGTGCCTGGGTGGTTCAGTCAGTTGAGCGTCCGACTTCGGCTCAGGTCATGATCTACTGGTTCCTGAGTTTGAGTCCCACATCGGGCTCTGTGCTGACAGCTCAGAGCCTGGAGGCTGCTTCAGATTCTGCATCTCCCTCTCTCTCTCTCTGCCCCTCCCCCGCTCATGCTCTGTCTCTCTCTGCCTCTCAAAAAATAAACGTAATAAAAAAAATTTTTTTAAATAAAATGTCTTATGTTTGAAAACAAGAACTATGACTTTTACCTGATAGAATTTTCAATATGTAGATATAATATATAACTATGACATAAAAGTGGAAGGGTAAATGGACCTATAAAGTGAAAAGGTTTCAACATGTCACTTGAAATTATTAAACGTTGGGGTGCTTGGGTGGCTCAGTTGGCTAATCATCCAACTCTTAATTTTGGCTCAGGTCACAATCTCATGATTCATGGGACTGAGCCCCGCACTTGACAATGTGGGCCTGCTAATATGTTATTAGTTATATATGTATGTATGTGTGTATATGTATATGTGTATGTATATATATATACACATATACGTATATATGTATAGATACATATATATGTATACGTATGTGTACATACATATACACACATACATACACACACACATATATATACATACATATATATGCACACATATATATATAAAATTCCTAGCGAAACCTCTTGAAAAACTGTACAGAGATAATAGTCAAAATCACAAGAGATGAATTAAAATAAAGGAACAAAATATTGAAGGAACAAACAAAATAAATCATAAGATGTTGGATCTAAATCCAACCATATTTATAATTACACTACATGTAAATGTTATAAACACACTAATTAAAGACATTATCAGAATGAATTAAAAAACAGGACCCAGGGTGGGGAACCAAGATGGTGGAGTACGAGAATCTTCAGCTCACCCTGTCCCCTGAACACACCAAGACAACAGTCACATCTGTACAACTAACTCTAAAAACAACCTGAAGACTGGCAGAACACACCTTACACAGTTAATGGTAGAGAGGTAGGAAAGGTAGGAGAGGTAGAGA